TTTTTCAGCAAATTGCTGAATTTTTGTCTTTTTTGAAATTGTTTATTTTCCCCCCCACTTGGGGGAAATAAGAAACAATTCATATATTAGATCTAAAGTTTCATTAAAATTGCTTATGCTTTGTCTCAGGCATTTTAAGTGGGCCATCTGTCTAAACATCTTTCTCTCTTTTTTTTTTTCCTGATCATTTCCTCCTCGACTTATTCATGAGCCATAGGAGGGCTCCTTTGTAGTTTTCACATAGCTGGTTCTGACTACCCCCACTGAATACATCTCTGTGCTTGCATAACATAGCTTTTCACTGTGCTGGAGATTCTCAGAACTTGGTTCAGATGAATGGGCCACTTTCTGAAGGTCTTTTTCTTCCTGCTACATTTGTATGCAGGAACTGACCTCTGTGGCTATGGAATGCAGCATGTTATTCTGGATCAGCTTACAGACCAGACCACCCACTGTGAAAGTTATCATGAAGTGAGTCCTAATTATTCTTTGACCATTAGCATTGTTTTAACTCAGTGTTTTATTTCTGTATAGTGTCACAATCGAAAATCAGCTTTTGTGAGTGTCTGATAATATGGTTTTAAGATGATCACGGTCCTTACTAATTGAAGATAAAAATCTACAGAATGGCAATGTTCCAGTAAATTGAATGCATTGTAATAAGACAAATGACAATCAACTGACAGTTTTTTCATCAAAATAAACAAAAAGTAGATTTTACTGAACATCATTTTGGCTGGGTGATAATAAAGTAGACAGGCTTGGGTAAGAGCTATTATTTGATTTCTTTGTGGGTTGCTGTTTATATGAATTCTTTACTGGGTTATTTTGGATTTTGTTTGTTTTTAAAGTTGTAGCTTCAGATAAACTTTGCAGGTTACACATTGAAGTTGCAGAGTCTGAACTCTTGTTTGATGGCAGCCTTCAATAGGAATGTATTTCAGTAGAGGAAACTGCATTCTGAATATTGTTACTGTCTCCAACTGAAGTTCTGGGACCTCCCATTCCCCTTTCAGAGAATTAGTCATAAAAGTTTTCCTTTGGACTATTTTGCATTTAATGGATGTATACCATTCTTCTCTAAAATTTAAAATATAGGGCCAGGGATATAGCTCAACAGCATAAGTGCCTGCCCAGCAAGCGCGAGGTTGTGAGTTTGATCCCAGGTACCAAAAAATAAAAACAAAACTGATGGATATGATCACTATGTATACGTAAAATGGGCCAATAAACCATGAAATAAAATACAACTTTAGGTTGTTACCATCAACTTTAGGTAATAGTTATAAACATGTTTATGATTATTGTTTCAAATTATTCATGTACTTAAATGATTTTTTTCAAATTAGAGTATATATACTTTCAGGTTTGTATTATTATCTTCATACTTTATTATAGCCTATTTCCACTTCAGAGCATATTTATATTTTGCTCATCACCTGGCATATATGTTCAAGGCATCCATTTTATTTAAAAACCAAAACAAAACTACTTTCAAACCCAAGTAAAGCCAGAACTGTTAGAATCTTGAGGTTTTGTTTCACAGTAAAGTTTCTTTCCTACATTCTCTTCACATACTACTGTAAAAGAAATCATTAGAAAAGTGCAACTCGGTCAGGAACTATGTGCCCAGTGGAAGGAGCAGCTTTTCCTAGCCTGTCCAGTTCTGCCCTGACCCCTCTACAGGTATAATGTGTGTTCCAAAGGATACATGGTACATTGCTGAGAAAAGAACTAGCTTCGACTTAAACCTCAGGGCTTTCAGTCAGAAATGTGTGCTCTTTTCAGAAGGTCCCTCCTGGGGCAAGCTGTAACATATATGAAACAGATGTGGATCAAAATAAAACAACGGAAAAATAAATAGTAGCTAGGTCCCAAAGACGGGCAACTATGTTCCACAACCATCTGCAGGATTGCTGTCTGTGGGAAAGTGAGTGCTGGCTTGGAACAGGATATCAGAATCAGCAACTTCCCATCTCCTCTGGAAACAGAGGATGATTACATCACTGAAAAGGTCTCAGCATTCATTTGAAAGAGTTGCCTCCTTCAGACCACTAAACTTTGAAAACTATTTCAGCATATATTGTAGGTTAAGCAGAAAGGAGATTGTGGAATGTATGCTCTGGTTAAAAAATCTGAGAGAGATGTAATGTCCTGAAGAATCTGTTGGAAAGCAGAGGGGAGAGATACCCCAAAGTTACTGTAATGAAAGAGGATTTTGTTAGAGATAGTGGGGGGAGAAAAGTGAAGGCCTCAACTTGGCTAATCAGCATAATAAAAGTTAGCCTTTACATGCCTTAATTTAATCCTCAATGTAGCACTATTAATGCAGATGTTAATTATCCTAATTTGATATTTAAAAGAACTAAGACTTAAATAGTTTGCTCATGATTGTAATGGCAGAGCTGAGTATTTTTTTTTTTTTTTACCAGCTTCTGTGATTCAGCAGAGCATATTCCTTAGTCCTTAGTCTTCTACTTCCTATTAGTTTGGCTTAAGACACTAACCCAACAGATATTGAAGTCAGAGAACAATCAGAAATAAAATTGAGTACTAAGAATGGAGACATAACTTTTAAGTGACTTGAATGGTAGATAGCTTAAGTTGTAAGTTAGTGGGAAGTGGAAACCCATAGAATGATCATGAGCAGGGCAGCCACTTTTATCATGGAAAGCAAAGTTTCCAGAAAGCCAGGTTATACCATAAGCCTAGCTATGTCTATTTCCAACATTTTACAATATAGGGGCCAGGGATTTAGCTCAGCAGAGCAAGTACTGGCCTGGCAAGTACTACGTCATGAGTTTGATGCCCCATATCAAAAAATAAAAAACCCAGTGTCCCCAAAAGGGTGGGTATTACTGCTTTTGTAGGTGACCAAGGTGCTATCTGGGGAGGAGACACATGAAGTCATGTACCTCAGGAAGTGCCTGAGGGGTTAAGGCTCATCTCTGCCTGGTCAGGTGAGCCTCTCCTGCCCAAGCCTGGCACAGAGCAGATGCTCCTCAGCCTTTTGTCCTCAGCCTGTGCTGGGAACTGGGGATATGAAAGTAAGGCAGGCACTGGGGGTATAGCTTGGTGGCAGAGCACTCACTAAGCACATGCAAGGCATTAGTTTTCCATCTGCAACTTGCCCCTCATAGTAAATTTTTTAAAAGAACAGTGGTCTGAGAGGGGCTCACAGGCCAGAAGGGAGACAAAGGGAACACATAAATGCCTGTGGAATATAGGTGCTAAGAGAAAAAGATTGGAACATGAAGCATTCTCCTGCTTTTGTTTGCTGTACCTCACTTTCTTTCTCTCCCCTCCTTTCTCCTCTGTTGTTGCCTGAAGCGTCTGTTCATTCAGACACTCTGGTGTGAAGCTCTGTCCTCTGAAACAAGCATCTTCCAAGCTTGTATATATAGTGCATGTTACTCTTCATGCATGCTTTTTTTTTTTTTTTTTTTTTTTTGTCTTTTTCTTTTTTATCAGTACCGGGGATTGAACTCACGACTGCCTGCTTGCAAGGCAGGCGCTTATGCCGCTGAGCTAAATCTCCAGCCCCTCTTCATGCATTTTTTAACTTTTCTAATTTTTTAACATTTATAATGTTTAAAGTATTTCTTCATCTTCAGGAAATAGATCAAATGGTGGGCCAAATGCAGATATTTACTTCAGTTATTAATCATCATGTAATAGATAGTATGATGAAATAATTTGATAATCACAACTGTTAAGACTTTTTATACTGAAAAACACAGTCCTTTTGAAATTTTTCAGTGTAAATGGAAACATAACCTGTAATCCTTTATAGAACTGTGGGTTAAACTCTGGCCTGGATACTACAAAATACTAATGTTTAGTGCTTAGTAAATAATACTTCACAAATATAAGAATATAAATGCATAATGTTTAAATTAGGTCAATTCTGAAATCATTACATTGTTGTTGCTTTTAAAAATATTTTTGGAAAACACATTTTATTCTAAGGTTTTTGATTTGGTTGCTGACTACTTGACTTAGGTTTTCTGAACAACATAATGTTGAAAATAAACCCAAAAAGATCTGTGAAAGATGAGTATCATTCAAAGATATGAAAGCCTTGTTTGAATTTTAGGTGTTGGTGAAAGTCAAGGTTAGAAAAGACATAGACCAGCCAGAGATTTAGCCCAGTGGTTTAAGCATCTGCCTGGCAAGCGTGAGGTCATGAGTTTGATCCCCAGAACGGACAAAAAAAAAAAAAAAACAAAGACATAGACCTTGTGTAAGTTCTCAGATTAAAAGCCACATCTCACTTGCTTTTTGATACCCCAAAACTTAGCATCAACCACTTAGTATTGATTGAACTCATAAGTCATTTAATTTTGATTTGCTTTTTTCCTTGTGCTTATCTTTTGATTAATATACTAAGGTAATTTTATAATTGACTTCATGAAGCAGTATTCTTTCCTATAAGTGAAATAATGCATGGATCACTCTTTAGAATGATTTTATTCTCACCAATTATGAATAACAAAGCAAAACCAAAACAATTCTATGGCAACAATTATATACTGACTCAGTGTCTCATTTGATGTCTCTGTAGTTCAAGAGTGTGACAAGAATGTTCATTTTATTGTAATTAAAAAACTGTCTTAAATAGTAAACTAATTAATATTACTTAAGGAATAAGTAATATTACTTATTAGTATTATTTAAAGAAGATTAATCTGTTGTGGACTGTCATAATTCAGCAACTGTTATTTAGAGTAGGTGATAGTACTTAGAAGAGATGATGGTACCACAGTATTCCAGAGTGCTTGCTGCTATCTTTGGCTTATCTGTTTTTTAAATCTCTCTAATTTAAATCTGAAACCTTTTCTCCCAAGTGCTGATGGAGCCTTTTAAAATAAAATGTTCTGAAATACATTCATAGGTAGTTTTACTCCACACATGTAATGCTAAAGGAAAATTAGTTTATTAAAAGGTAATAATATACAATTATTATTATTAAGAGTTACAATTACTCTTTTCTGTTTCAGAGTTCCTGTTATGAAACCCAGTGTGGCTAAGTGGGAGCTCTCAATAAAGTTGCATGATGAAGAGCATGCTGTTGTAACATCACACAGTGGGTCAGCATTCTCTGTGAGTTTTATTTCTTCTTTTAGTAATCTTGAAATTATCAATATTTAAAACTATTTCTAAGCAACTATTCAGTGACTTTCTTCTTTTGAATTTATAGCATAGCTATGTATTTGTTTCATTTTCTTTAGGGAGCTGAATGAATGTAAAGGGAACTTCGCTCTTTAATTATTAAACACAATCCTAGATTTTGCCACATACTAAACTCAGTTCCTGATACCATATGAGTTTTTCTTTAGTGTTTACTGAAAAGAAAACATTTTTAATTATAATAACAAACCTGATGCCTATGGTAGATTACCATTTATTCAAAGAAATAATCCAGAGTGTCGTATAACATTATCTTCAGGGTTTATGTTGAATATGTATAACATTCTTGAGGCTAAGTTTTCCTTATGGTAATATTCTTTTTGTTCTGGGGAACTTAAGTAATGTCTATAACAGAACACAGTAATTTGAATTCTGAACTGTCATGAACAAAGTAAGATTTCAAGTGTTTATGTTCCAGTGTGAATGATAAGTTTAAAGTCTATTTTTAAATATTGACAGATACTGCAAAGCGTTGACATTTTAATTTGTATAGTTTTGCATTTTCACCCTGTACTCAAAGAAGCTATTATACATTTTGTGTAATGAATATTATGTTTAATCATATTTCTCATAGCTAAGTTTCATTGAGATATCACTTTGTTTTGACCAAATGACTTTTTTTTTTTTGTCTTTTTTCTTTTTTTTTTATTGGTACCAGGGATCGAACTCACAACCGCCTGCTTGCAAGGCAGGTGCTTATGCCACTGAGCTAAATCCCCGGCCTGACCAAATGACTTTTTATTAGAAGATTGAAATAGACATGAAAGTCAACATGATAAAATTTCACTTAAATTGAAAGCCATGACAGCTTCTTGGTGTCACTGAGGAAAATACTACAAGTGAGGGCTCATGTGAATTAATTCATTTATTCAACAAATACTTCTTCCTTGCCTCCTATGTGCTGGATAAGTGCAGGGCTCCAAAGAAGCCAGCGCTTTTATGTAGTATCAGACTCACAAATAAATGGTATTAATTCGTGAATGAAGGGCACACACTATAGTTTTATTTACGTTTCATAATACATTCTGTTTGCCAAAATAGTAAAATTTTGATTCTGAAACATATTTCACTGAATTCCCTTAAAGGAGAAATCAGGATGGAGTTTAACAATTATTTTATGACATCTTTACTGATAAATTTTTGTCATTCTTTATATTTTTCCTACCTATATGATTATTTTTAAGCAATAGTTATGTAAATGAATACAACCCTACATCAGATTGGGTAGTAAATTATATAAATAAGTAAAAAAATTCTGTGTTTGTAGTATCTTCCTCAGGGAAGGTTAATGTTATAAAAATGTAGACTTTCAGCTCTGTGTGGAGTCAGCCCTGAACCATACCGAAGTCGGCTAATGTTATGCAGTGTTTGTCTGAATAAGAACATTGCCCAACTTGCTTCTTAGAGCTATAACTTCTGTGTGCTTGTTTCAGGTTCCATGTTATAAACACACTATAAAGTTGTATTGTAATCAAGACAGTGTAATACTTGCATAGAAACAGACACGGAGAATTCTAGAATAGAATTAAAAATCCAGGAATATACTTACATATGTATGGTGAAGTTACCAGAATGATGGGTCTCAGGGAAATTCTTTCCACATTCTTGGTATCTGTCTTGGTTCTTTTTTTCTCTTTGTTGAGACAAAATACCTGACGCCCAGAATTAGGGAAGGAAAGGTTTATTTAGCTCACAGTTTTTGGAGGTTTTAGTTCCTATCTAGCTGGCTCCAAGGAAGGGTGGCATGGCTGCAGGGCAGTCATTCAAAGTGGCTGCAAGCAACAAGTGTGGAAGGGCAAAAGGGCAAAAGTCACACTTCCTTCCCCCCTTATATTGTATGCTGACTCCTTGTCCCTGGGTGGGTATAGTACTCTTGCTGCCAATCCCAGCGCTAGACAATGAACCAATCACAAACGCTAGACTCAGTCCTCTTCATAACTGCATGAGGCTTGGGGCGGGGGTGCACCCAGACACAAATGATAGCAATATCCTAAACAAATAATTTGACAGGTCACACAGAAAAAGGTAGCAGGAATGCACATAAATTGAAGTTAGAAAGGAAATATGCTCTGAGAGTGAGGGCAGGCTGGCAAACAGACTCAGAGTTGCCACAAAGATAGGAAGAAGAATTTTTTTGTATCTGGAATTCATGGTCAGGCTTTCCCCTTGTGCAAATAAAGCATTGGGATATCTATCCTATCAAAAACTTACTAGGCCTTGTGCCATATTTAAATTTCTATTGAAGACTTGCTTAGTTTCTCAACAGATGTAAATGAAGAATTGAAAATAGCACTCTTCTGATTAGTTCTGTATACAGTGCTCAGGATACATGGAATCATCTTGGATTCTGTATTCTGAGTCTTTACCCTGGGTCTCAGGATGTTGAGAGATTACACCCAGTTGTTTGACAAGCTTTGCCCCAGCCCAAATCTCTTCCCTCAGCGAGTTCTGCAGTTATACCTCAGCAGTAAGACGTTGCCTAGCATGCACTAAGGCCCAGTGCTAGCAAAACCTGTGTCATGTATGCTGCAGCAAGCTGTTTGTTTGCCATCACTGCTCTAAAAGGTTTGCCATCACTGCAGTAGTTTCTATTTTTCTAGTTGCATTATTGTTTATAATACTTACTTTTAGCCTATGCAGTGGCATTTTGATGAAGCAACTAATTAACTTCAGTCTATATTTACTGAAACTTGACCTTCTCTTGGCCTCTGTGGTGAGCATTTTACATGCATTATCTCATTGAGTCCTAACAGTAAACCTGATAACTAGATGTTAATAGTCCCATTTACAGATCTGGAAACTGAGGGTCAGAGAGATGATCACATAATTATGGAAATTTAGTTCTGCTGGACTGTGGATAAATTACTATTAATATAAGGAATAGTGCACAAAATACTTCTCTTTCAATTAGAGATAGTAGATAAGAGCAACTGTTAATTTTTTTTAAATCCTGTTTTGTAGATCAAATTCTGCCACTGAGCTAACTCCCTGGCCCTGCTACATGTAAAGTGATTTTTAGCAATGATTTTACTGTTTTATCTAAGCAAGTAATTTTTATCAGAGAGGTTTGAAGTTTGAGATAAGATTTTTTGTCTGAAAAAATTTGCACTTTGACTGTTTCTTTTTTTTTTTTTTTGGCTTTTTCCTTTTTATCGGTACCGGGGATCGAACTCACAACTGCCTGCTTCAAGGCAGGCACTTATGCCGCTGAGCTAAATCCCCAGCCCCCGTTGACTTTGTTTCTTAATAATGTTTGTTTTGGTTGATACAAAATTATCTTTAGATGCCTGTGGTGGAGGGATGGACATGTTTTGTAGTATTCATATCATTGCAATTAACACCCTATATTTTTCTTCCCAAAGAATGGATATGGTGATGAACATAAGAATACAAAATAATTACATATGGATGCATAATAAGAATAATTACATACACATTCTTTGAAGTTTTCCTTTTCTGATACAACTAATCCTTTCCCCTTTGTTCTTCTACCATGTCTTTTGTTTTACATTAACTAAACGATATTAACTAAAAGATATTCCTTAACTAAAAGATATTCCACCACAGTTTTTTAAAAATTATTATTGTTTCTATTGATAGTTAAGCAGTATTTTGTTCTTTTTTTTTTTTTTTTTTTTGTCTTTTTCTTTTTTATCGGTACCAGGGATCAAACTCACGACTGCCTGCTTGTAAGGCAGGCGCTTATGCAGCTGAGCTAAATCCCCAGCCCCCAGTTAAGCAGTACTTTGGAAATTCAATTTTAAGTAATCTGTTCAAGCATTTTTTGTATAGCATTTTCATAAAAAATAATTAAATAAACAGAATATATCAATAAATAATCTTACACAAAATAACTATATTCTCAAATTATTAATTTAAACAATCTTAAATGTATGGGGTTTTTTTTGTTTTGTTTTTGGGTTTGTTTGTTTGTTTGTTTTTTGGTACCGGGGATTGAACTCAATGCCACGCACTTGCAAGGCAGGTGCTTATGCCACTAAGCTAAATCTCCACCCCTTAAATGTATGTTTAATAAGCACTTTTATGTGTATTTTATATGAATATTTCTTCCTTTTGTACTATTAATAGAAAGTAATAAATCATGCGGTTGCTATTTTTAAGAAATATGTCTGATTATTCTTTTAAATAATTTTTGAACACATAAACTAGAGTATCCTCTTGCCTCTATCTGCTTGCCTCTACTGTCAGTTTCTGAAATCAGCTCTTAGTTTTGATTGTGAAAAAACACCAGCAAATGAATTCAATGAACCATTACATTTTCACCTAGTCTAGGTTTTTTATTTAAAAAATTATATATAGCGCGTTGGGATTTAGCTCAGTGACATAAGCACCTATCTGACAAGCATGAGGTTGTAAATTCAATCCCTGGTAGCAAAACAAACAGAAAAATTATCTGTAGCTAAAGGTTACAGTCAGCAGTTAGAAGAGAACATACTTGTAGTAGCATTTAAAATGAGTATTACAGTACCATTAAGAACTTATAATAAAAGACTACTATCCTATGTTTAAAAATTGACTTATAGTATATGGTAAAAGATGGAAAATTGAGGTGAGTTTTTTTTTACAGCTGTATAATATATTTAAATTTTTTTCTTCTTTTGACAGCGGTTGAATGTTATCACATAGGCTTCTTGTCAGCTACTTCTTTCACCTAGACTTCTTTCTCTACCAGCTTTACAAAGGGTACTAAACAAAGCAGGGAAAAAAGGTTATATTTGAGGAAAATGCCTTATTTTTTGTCATTGGAGTTTTAGAAAGAAAAACATGTAAACATGAATTTCCTTCATTTTGGCAAGAACATGTATATTTGATAAAATTATTTTTCCATTTGAGAAAAAAATTACTAGGAAAATAAATCAAGATAGTGCTAAGAAAATGATGTAAAATTGTTC